CGCAATGTGATTCGCACGACTCATAGCAGTTTTTTGTTCTGTTCCATTACTGATTTGTCAACTACCACAATGACTCTATTTTCAAGCAGTGTAACCCACACTTATTCAATTGCAGAGCGTGTTTCGGGGCAATTTTCTACTGGTCGTTTACCGGCACACCTTGACCGAACTAGTGTAGTAATTCCGCGCGAGTATGGAACTAAGGGAATAAGTGGTGCGCTAGTGATGAGAGAAGGAAAAGAAATCTTCATCAACATCTAAAATATGAGTGCTCTCAAACTTCTGCAGTTGAAGACTCTACGAGACAACAAACTACAGACGCAAAGGCATTATTAAAATTACAGCCTGTCGACAGGAGTAACAGATTTGGAAACGAGGAAACGTCAAGGATCCGTGGAGAAGAAAGGCGAAGCCGATAGAGGGTGTTTTGCGTGCAAAAAAGTTTTCTATGTCTTTGTTGAAAGCATGGGATTGGTCCACCTGGATTCTGCTGAAATATGCTTTAAAGGAAGCGATTACGATAAAGAGGGAGCGCATCGGGAAGCATATGCACCACACGAAGCAGTTACTTGGCTGCCAAGGAAGCGAGGTGTGGCGCTTTCACGACGAAAGGTGCGCTGGTTGCTGAGCAGGACTTCGAAAGCACTCCGCCCCCAAAAGCGATCCGCCCACTAGTTTACTTGTTGATTTGGACGAGCTGCGTGGCCAGCAGCGGCGCAAATGGAGCATCTCGATTAAGCGTGTTTGGCATGGTGCCATCAAACGCGTTGCGGTGAACTCGTTCATACGTCCACTTTCTGAGCTGTTACCTGTTCATGAGTGAAAACCAACGGCCAAAAAGGGGTCCCGTTTTGCGTTTCTTGACGGATTTTTCTGCTTTTTTCGCCACTGGCGTACCATTGAGCACCACCACGTCACACTAAACCCTTCTTCTTCTTGAATTTTTCGTAATCGCTGCCTTTAATGCCCAGGCCCACCGATGGATACACTGGGCGCAGGTGGATGGCCCTCAATGAGTCAAAGAAAGGGTTTCGCTTCAGAGCGCTCTGCCAAATGCTTAGGGGAGGTCACAATAAGAATTTATCCAAGAAAGCAGTATAAACACGGGGAGAAGGATAAGACAGTACAGGAACTATGCAGTTCTCGTTCAATTGGGTTGGACCCAACTAGGATGGCTAACCATGTGATCACCATTGCGTTGGAATATGTCCCTATTTATATAATATTCAAGTTGAAGAAAAAATCCGCTGACGTATTGAGCGAGCGCTTTAATTCCTGCAGGGAATCTCGTGTGATCAGCAACAAGTCGTCCGTCAGCATCACGACTTCGTTCCATCCAACAATCGTCAATGTGGATATGGTTATAACCGGCGTCACGATATCCATCCGATACTGAAGAGGTATGTTTTAGAGTCCAATGTAAATTTACGAAAAACCTTGCTCTCACTGCTGACCTAGTCTGTCTGCCATCTCCTGGTAGAGTTTCTCATTGATACAGTCATCAGGATACTTGTCACAGTTGGTTTGGCAACGAAACTGTGTCCATGACATCCAACCCATGGGAGGTGTCCTGCAAGGAAGAATTAAGCGATATATTTCCGAAAGGGCAATAATTATTACTTTTTTCATTTCCTGAAATCTTAGCTCGAACTCAAAAACAAAAAGAAAGCAAAAGAAGCTGGCAATGTCGCTCTAGATGTAATTGATGTGGGACATTGTACGAGCCTACGAAAATGCGTGCACGAACGAGAACTAAAGTTCAAAAGACTCAAGAGCGTAGGGAATATGGGGCGCAGACAAGTTCACAACTGGCAGGAGGGGTTGAGCTGACAGCGCTGTCGTTTCGCTCCGTTATCCTTCCAGCTACTTCACAACATCTCACTTGTCGTACAAGTTCCATTAGACTATCTATTTAATTAGCCTTAGTGCATCCCATTGCAAAAATATACACATTTTGCTGTGAAAAACGTACGAACTCTTCTAGGAATCCAACAGCAGACCTATTTTCTTTCTTTATTTATTTAATTATTTATTTAATTAATTATTTATTTATTATTTAATGCGTGCAAGCATGTGCTATGCCAAGACATAAACTAGTTCACATCACTAGCAATGAAGAAAGCTGATGAAAAGTTTTCTAGATGACAACGAAAAACGATACAAGGTATGTCTACTAGACCACTCATAAAGCCTTGTTCTGAGTTCAGTATATTATTTGTTACACTAAAGCTATTGTATTCAACGGCGGATGGCGCTAGGGAGAACGCCACTCCTAGACAAGTAAGTGGAACATGTGGAATCAGAAACTGAATTTTCGGATGTTAGGTATTCCCTACCCCTAACAATTCAGTTTCTGACCCGCCTAGAGGAAATTCTAGCATTAGAGGATCTCTCAAGGCAAATATGTGTAGTGAGTGTTGAAATTCTACTGGGAAGTCATGGCTATGCTTTTGAAAATCTATTCACCAACTTTTGTGAAACAACGAAAAGTAACAGGAAACAAAAAAACAGTCGTTCATATTTTCACTTTTTTAGGAACCGGAGCTATCCTAACCACTGCCACTAAATGATGATCGAGTGTTTCGCAAAACGTTTTTGAAAAATACACAGTGCCTCAGATGCATTGTACATTTTCGTCATTTCATTTCGCAACTATTACCAGCGTTGTGATGAAAACATGAAGGCTTTCTGTAAGATAGGGAATGAATTGTTTCGTTTGGCTTTTTCAATGGAGAACTCATTCGAGTCCCATTCAAAGAATGCGATATCGCTGACTTGGAGTTTAGAAGAGTTCCACACATTAGTGACGGAAGGAATCGAGATAAAAGGTGAGATTGGGATGCTCTAGAAGAGTCAGAGCTTGACAAGGAGAGGACGTTCGAAATCAGCGAAGCGATGGAAATGAACCACGAGTAATAACGATAGCTCTTACAAGTCAACCACGCATCCATTGCAACCCCTTTCACGTCCCCAAGTCCGTAGGTGGGCAAGGGTCCCAGAAGTTTGGAAGCACTTTTCCGACGCCTCATAACGCCGTTGATAAGGGTGTGCTCCTGAAGCGCTACCTATCATCTCATTTGATAGGCCCCATCCAACCCACTGCGTAAATTCCCACTTTCCCATGGGATTTACTGCGACCGCTCTTTCTGATTATACGGCTTCTCTGCGTCCTATTTTCACACTATCAAAGGTGAAGAAACACGCTCTCGTTATTAGCAGTCCTGGAAAAGTTCCATGACGTTACACGAAACAGGAAGTGTAGTATTCCGTAATCACTCCAGTCTGACGAGATTATTCCGCTGTAGCCTTCCTGTTCGATTCTTATCTGTTGCCCCCCCCCCCGAAATTCGACATTTCCGATCCGTCACATAATGACATTGCTAAACAAAATGCAGGGATTTTTTTCTGCAATTTGTTCAATGTGAACCATGGTAGAAGGTTTCTCGAAAAGTGTCGTATTGACAGGACTTAGCAGTGCATTTTCTTGAGTGTCAGAGGGATAGGGCCTAGTGAAGAAATAGGGTTGCTTGGAATGATTTATTAGGTTCCCTGAGAAATTGTAAAGGGAATACGAAAACAAAAATTCGTGCTTTTCTTGTTCTGACTGCATTACAGCCTCCACTCCCCTCCCCCAGACTGCAGTCTGCTTGATGGGCATTTTAAGGGAACCAGATTGAGGCAGGGATCAACTTATGGGACAAATCGTATTTCAAAGAAGGGATTTCCTTTTAGCAAAAAACCCTCGATGCAACACACCCTGTTCCTTAGTTTGGTATGCGTCAGGCACTAGATACCAAATATCGGTCAAGGGAAGTTTCTGCAGACTGTTCAAGATTTGAGTAAATCCGTTTTGCCCAACCCAGCAGTTCGCGGGCTGCAGTTGAATTCTGAACCACGTGGGCTTGCCTATTAAAAGTATCTCTCTACACAGTCGAAACTGAGTTATTCACACATTCCGTAACTCCAACCGTCTTGCGTTCAACTGATAAATGATGAACACATTTCGAACAGTCTCATGATAGCATCCTACAGAAACAGAAATGATGGCGACATCAGAAGAATCTTCCTAGCATGGCGTATGGTTTGAACTTAGCAGCGCAGCAGCTTCAGAAAAGGCAACTTACGATAGCAGCCAGACTAGAGTAAATACGCGACAGACCTCCTCGAGCTCGACGGCTGTAGCGTACCACTTCATATATTTATATTCTGAAGACGGTGTGGGCAATGAAGAAGAGCTTCCTTCTGCTTCATGGAAGGAACTTCGTGGATGCTCTACCGTGATATAACGTTTTTCAATAGCAGCACTCTGTGTGACGGATCGCAACTGCTGAAGTGCGCCATGAGCTGAGCCTTTTCTGCCTCCACCTCTTCCCTTCACCCTCCCCCCCCCCCCTCATCTGTAGTATTACCGACGTGGAACCGATATATAGGTCTATTGTAGCAATGTGGGAATTAATCCACCGGATATCGGAAATAATAGTTTAATACTGAATTTAAATAGAAGATAGCAATAGGTATGATAGGTGTCGTAAGAGAAAACGAAAACACTAGACAAAACCTGGCCAGTCCGTTGTCCAAACCAAGAGCACCTGCAGATATTGACAAGATCATCCAAAGTAGTCGCATTTCCTAGAACAGTCGAATTTTTCGTTGAGATTCACAAACAGGAAACTCCAGGAAATAAATGGGATTGAGAACGCTGCAAACGTCTGCTGAGAGCGAAATGTAAGCTAGTGTTGGACTGTTCACAGCATCTGATAAGCTCCGCAC